TCAAAAAAAAAAAAGAAAAAGAGATTAACTTTTGAATTGGAATGTTGTAATAGGTCACTGAGTTTTACTGCTTATTATTTGGAATGAGGGTTGGTGAGGTCTTTGCTTTGAACTTTAATGTATAAAAACTGTAATTTTGGTTGGTAGCCTGTGGCTCAAGTGGCTAAGGTGCCAGCCACATACACCTAAGGTGGCGTGTTCGAATCCAGCCCGGGCCCGCCAAAACAACAATGATGGCTGCAACCAAAAAATAGCCAGGCATTGTGGTAGGCGCCTGTGGTCCCAGTTACTTGGGAGGCTGAGGCAGGAGATTCACTTGAGCTCGGGAGTTGGGGGTTGCTGTGAGCTGTGATGCCATGGCACTCTACCCAGGGGGATAGCTTGAGACTCTGTCCTCAAAAAAAAAAAAAAAAAGGTAATTTTGAAAATGGAACAGAAGTCTTGGAGAGGCTACTCTCACTGTTCTCCAGAATCCCCGCCTTCTGATGAAGTTTGATGACCCTATCCCCCGTCTCTGCCTATTGGCTGACAGTGACAGGTGGCTGGACCCTCTTCATCCAGTAACACATAGTCTTTTAAATAGTTTTTCTGCACTTGGGCTCTCAGGACCCCGCTGGGGCATTCCCACCCTGGCATGCATGTCCCATCCTTAGAGATGGGAGCTAGAATGTTAACTGACTGCTGTTTCTGAGTGAGGGGAGTTGGTCAACAATAGGAGTAACGAATACAACTACACTATCAAACTTAATGGATGGGAGGTGAGCTAAATTCATCTTTCACAGAAGCACAAATCAATAGGTATTATCCCTGTCTTATGAAGAAAAGAGGCCACAGCTTATTTAGAGGATGGCCACAACCTGCCAACCTAACCAGGCAGAGTTCAAAGGGTGCTGGAGCAGGAGGATGGTCGGGAGTGCAGGGGGGACTCACCATGAGTTCTCAGCTGTCTCCACGTACGAGCATTATTTTAGTAAAAAAGAAGATGTAAAACATCTTTCTAATCTCATTAAAAAAAATTACTTTTCTAAGTCAAAGTGTAGTAACCAAGATATAGCAGCACTACAGGCTGTCCCAAAAGTCACCCCCTCCATCACCATATATAGGGAAATGAGAAATTGTAGCTAAATGTACCTTAATTTACAAAATGTTCTCGATGCATTGGCTACCACTGCACCACTTCCTATGTACTTGTGCCATTTCCCCAAGCACAGGGCAGGATTCCAGAGAGCAAGTTCTAGAAAAATACATTTATTTGACGTATTCTGGGATGCTGCCACAGAAATAACACTGCAAAACTTACTGGAAACTAGTCCCTATCTACAGAGTATATGCCAAAAAAGGTGTGATTAAAAATCTATCTGTGGTGGCTCACACCTATAATCCTAGCACTCTGAGAGGCAAAGGCAGGAGAGACCCCATTTCTACTTAAAAAAAAAAAGTTAAACTAGGTGGGCATTGTGACAAGCACCTGTAGTCCCAGCATACTTGGGAGGCTAAGGCAAGAGGATCTCTTGAGCCCAAGAGTTTGAGGTTGCTGTGAGCTATAATGATGCCATGGCACTGTAGTCTGGGGCAACAGAGTGAGACTTTTGTCTTCAAAAAAAAAAAAAAAAGGAAGTCAGTTAAAGAAATGGAGTCAATCTATGCATTCATTGAACAGCTATTTATTAGCACCTAGTATGTGTCAGACACTGTTTTGAGCACTGGAGAACATGAACGGACTAATAAATATAAAGCAAAAATCACCAGGCTCACTTGGAAGCTTTTCTTCCCAGTCAACTTTATGAACCTCATGCTGCCCACTCTGCCTGCTCCAAGGTCTTTTTTGCATCTCTCTCTCTCTCTCACCTTTGTCCCAAGGGCCAGAGCTTGGTTCCTGATTTATAATCCCCCTCATTAATGTAACCAAAGAGACAGCGATGAATACCATAGTAGACTGGGATTAATGTTTTATTATTGATATCCTACATCCATACTGTGCGTTTCTAAGATTTACATCCAAAGAGCATATTGTATTTACATGCAACGAACGGACCAACATAACAAATTCAAACCATGGCTGCATTAAGACTATGGTTTGTTCCAAATTAAATACATAATACTCTTACCTCCCCCCTTTCAACATGTACAATAAAAACCCACTCTTCCTCCTTGTAAGGAATATGAAATTGCATTGATAACTGCACTGATTAGCAACAACTACATTTGAAACATTTAAAACCTGAGATATAAAGCCAAATATGCTGAAGTACTAACATATCTACACTCGCGTCCGGTGTGAACACTGCGGTGATAGACTGCTCAGTGGTCCACAGTGCACGGGCCAGGTGGCTCTGACAGACACTGATGCCAGCTTTGACTGGAAGCTACACTTGCCCTGGGCAGAGGGGCTATTTCCCCATAAACCCTCTGGAGCTGCATACCACAGATGATGAGGGGGGTTCTGATACTACTGGTTTTTTGTTTTTGCTTTTTTTTTTTTTGGTCTTTTCACTTCTTCTTGCTTTTAAGTGGAAAAAAATCTTTGGCCCATTGAGGGGAAATTTTGCATTACAAAATGTACATAAATAAAATACACATGCTCTTCAGCAAGCATCTTCTGTCTGCTCCAACAGTCCAGCCCAGGATTTTGTACCAGTGGGGCGCGGAAGTCTGAAGGAGGTAAGCCCAGCTAGAACGAAGTGGTCGGAAAAATAAATACACGATTTTAAAAAACAGCCAAGCTTGTCAGGACAGCTCAGAGGCAGTAAGAATTTCATTCCATGATGCTTCTCTTTTACATTAAATACTGAAGATGACTCAGTGCATAATTGCTGTGTGGTCATCAGACGGTCCCGGCAAAGGCACTCCTGTCTGAAGTACAGGTCACGGTAACCTAGCACCATCACTCGTGACAGTCCAGCTGCCCACCAGCGTGACCCAGCCCTCTGTTTCCATCTACCTCCAACTCCTCTGGAAAGGAGAGTGGGACTCCTCTCACCACGGCAGCTGCACCCTGCTGACCGTGGGGGACTGCCCTTCCCTTCCACACAGGCTGTCCTGCCTCAGTGGCCAATGTCCTGCTCTGCTTGCTGTCAGTCTGGGCAGGCTGTGATCCTGAGGCACATATTAGATTTTATTCTAAAGTGAATTCTCCAGACACACTGACACTGAACCATCATATCTTTGGTTCCCTTCTTCTAAAACACACTTGTTATTTCTTTTGTTGCTTAATGATAAGAAGGCAGTCCAATGAGGAAAACCCCGCACAGCTGCCCTCCTGAGGGAATTGGTCTTTCTCAGGGAGGGAGGGAACCACTGCAAACACTTATCTAGGGTTATCCGTACCCAGTAAATTGAGAAGGGAACAACAGACCCACAATCCCACCCCAAAGCTTCACAAAATAAAACTCTCATTGGTCTCCCTTACATTTATGTAGGGCCTTTCACTTTTAAGGCACTGGCTCTTGAAGACATGCAAAACAGTAAAACTAAAGACGTGGTATCCTGCCTGCTGGGAACACGGAGAGGCAGAGACAGGCTCCCACACCAGATGATGACAGTTACCCATGGTGACGAAGACCTGCTTCCAAAACAGCATTTCATGTTAGTGTGTTACTAGTGTGTTAGCTTTAACTGTTGACACCAAAAACGTGACCAACACTTTTTCCTTTTAACAAAGCAACCTTTATACTGCTCTGATGACATTAAATGCCGTAAGTACCAGGTATTCAGTCACCACTGAGGAAGTGTGCCAATTCCACTTCCGGCGCGTGTGAAGTCACAACCCTACTGATTCTCTAATTAGTTCAACGATGTTTTAGTCCCTTAATAAATACACGCCGATGCAAAAGACTTTCGGGGGGACTTTATCAAATGTCCCCTAAGGGAGAACAAGCCTGGCAGCAGAGTTACGCTTCACACGGTGGAACTATCCTGTTCACACACCGATGTAGGAAAACAAAAACAGCAACATTTTCTGGAAGGAGAACTTCTGAGTTTTCTTAAGAGCAATTTTTCATCCTGAACTATGACACAATCAAGATGAACACCTATTTTTCATTTGGTTTGTCTCAGAAGAGTTCATTTTCCTTCCCAGCACCTTTACAGGAATTTACTTTTTGAAGTTGGACTTGAGCCCAAACAAAGCGACGATGTCCTTCATGGCTTGTCTCAGGTGCTTCCCAAAACGATGAGAATCCTTTAATTTAAAAATAAAGAACAAAAGCACATTAAAACATGGAAACATCCTAATTTCAAGCTTTGTCATTTATAATCCAACTCAAAGATGAACTCGAACTTCGTTTTGCCAGTGTTCTGAGATTTGACCTGCTGGCTGCATGATTACCATATCCATTCTGGAGAAATGGTGAGAGGAACTGAGGCGACAGTTGAGATGTTCGTGTGGGTATATTTTTGATCTAAGGATTTCTCTAAAGATAATGCATTTCATAAAACTCAGTGATCAGGGCAGTGCCTGTAGCTCAGTGAGTAGGGAGCTGGCCTCATATACCCAGGGTGGTGCATTCAAACCCGGCCCCGGCCAAACTGCAAGAAAAAAAATAGCTGGGCGTTGTAGTGAGCGCCTATAGTCCCAGCTACTTGGGAGGCTGAGGCAAGAAAATCGCCTAAGCCCTAGAGTTTGAGGTTGCTGTGAGCTGTGAGCTGTGACTTCACAGCACTGTACCGAGGGAGATAAAGTGAGACTCTGTCTCTAAAAAAAACAAAACAAAGCAAAACAAAAAACAGTGATTAAATGAATGCCAGTTTTCTCTGTTAGCACATCTGGCATTGCGTGTCAGGTTATGTATAATGTGGAAAGGAGAATATAAATAAGAATTAATAAACCACGCCGAAAGGAGGTCACACTGTGGATCCCCTGCTCCATCACATATGTGTGTTTCTGAGTGTGTTCACATTGCCCTTAGTCCACCTTCCGAGTGTTACAGGAAACTATCGAAGCCCTCTAACATTATGTTTCAAAAACCACTGCTACCTGCAAAGGTAAACATGTTGAACCAAACAAGACATATTTCTTTAAAACTAGGTTAAGCGAATTTTGAATTTCATTTACTTGATAATGTCTTAACCTGGCTCGGCTTCTACAGCTCATCAGTTAGGGCACTGGCCACATACACCAGGGCTGGCGGGTTCGAGCCCAGCCTAGGCCTGCCAAACAATGACAACTACAATAATAAAATAGCCGGGTATTGTGGTGGGTGCCTGTAGTCCCAGCTACTTGGGAGGCTGAGGCAAGAGTTTGAGGTTGCTGTGAGCTGTGATGACAGCTCACAGCTGTCAGGGTGACATAGTAAGACTGTCTCTCTCTCACACACACACACAAATAATAAATAAATAAAAACAAAATGTCTTAACCAAGTAAAAATAGATCATTACATTGAGAAATTTTTGGTCAAATTAAAGCTGTGTCCTCATAAAAAGAAAAAAGTAAAAGCACCCCATCCTCAGAAAAAGTAACTTCTTTTCACACTTACTGTCTCGGGGCAAGAGAACTTGGAAGAGATATGGAAATTGATGAGGTTCTCTCCCACAAGGATGTAGGACACACCGTAGCCATCATCAGCAACCTAGAGAAAAAGAAGTTTAACTTCTATCACTGGGAAATGAGACCCTGAGGAAAAGGGACTTTCTAACGTTCAAACTACAAGACAACTGTTGATGTTTGTGCAAATAATCAGCAGGACTTTCTCTATAGTGGCACAACAACAAGGCACAAGGAGTGCTCAAAACCGAAATGGGCATGTCACACCCCTCTGCGCACATCGTCCAGCACCATCGTCCGGCACCCAGTGCACTTACTGGTCCGAAGCCGCCGCCACTGGACACGTACTCCGGATTCCTCTCCAAGTCGAACAGCTCCACCTGCTGCTGAGGAGTCTGGCTGGTTGATAATCTCCAAGGCTCAGATAAAACCTGTCGAGTGAAAGAAGAAAACGTTGAAATAACACTTTTCCTAATTCTGTCCTCGAGAGGCCCCACAGGGAAGAGAAGAAAAGGCCTGCTTCAGACCCAGAGTCCTCAGTGTGCTGCTGAGGCCCGCTGGCTGGGCAGGGTCTGTGCAGAGCGGAGGCAGAGTGTGAGGACACCTGGACCTCAGAGCCAACACCAGCCAACAGCAGCGGCATCCAGCAGGTGGCTCAAGACTTGTACCAGTTTGGTGAGCCAACTGTTCAATTTCCAGGGATTTTTCAAGTTGGTTGTTAAATATAGCTACTATTACAACTTAAATTTTAGGCCAGGTGCAGTGGCTCACACCTATAAATCCCAGCACTGTGGGAGGCTGGGGCAGGTGGGTTGCTTGAGCTCAGGAGTTTGAAACCAGCCTGAGCAAGACGAGACCCCATCTCTACTAAAAATACAAAACTTAGCCAGGTTGTGGCAGGTGCCTGTAGTCTAAGCTGCATAGGAGGCTGAGGCAGGAGAATCACTTGAGCCCTGGAGTTTGAGATTTCTCTAAGCTGATACCACGGCACTCCACCCAAGGTAACAGAGTGAGACTCCATCTCAAAAAAAATTTTTTTTTTTAGTCAGGCACGCTGACAGGCACCGGTAATCCCAGCTACTTTGGAGGATTACTTAAGGCTAAGAGCTTAAGACCAGCCTGGGCAACACAGCCAGACCTTCACTTCAAAAAATTAAATTTTACAGCTTGGTGCCCATAGCTCAATGAGTAGGGCACTGGCCGCATACAATGAGGCTGTCGGGTTCAAGCTCTGTCCGGATCTACTAAACAACAATGACAACTGCAACAACAACAACAAAAATAATTGGGTGTTGTGGCGGGTGCCTGTACTCCCAGCTAATTGGGAGGTTGAGGCAAGAGAATCGCATAAGCCCAAGAGTTGGAGGTTGCTGTGAGCTGTGTGATGCCATGGCACTCTACCAAGGGTGACATAGTGAAACTCTGTCTCAAAAAAAATTATATTTTATAAACTTACGGTAAAATAAATTATATTAAAAATAAAGGGGATAAGCTCAGTGCATGTAGCTCAAGTGGCTAAGGCCACTCACATAAACCAGAGGTGGCGGGTTCGAATCCAGCCAGGGCCTGCCAAACAATGACAACCACAACCAAAAAAGAAAAAAGCTGGGAGTTGTGGCGGGCGCCTGTAGTCCCAGTTTTTTGGGAGGCTGAGGCAAGAGAATTGCTTAAGCCCAGGAGTTGGAGGTTGCTGTGAGCTGTGACAGCACAGGACTCTACCCAGGCTCAAAAATAAACAAATAAATAAATAAGATAAATAAAGGTAATGAACACTCAGAGCTCATCGCTTCCTAGTAACTATCTAAGCTCTTGAGGTAATTTCTGGCACGTGAGGAGGCTAAATCTGACGGCAAAGTGTTCCAAGTTATGAAGAAGTATAGGATGAAAACTATAGGCTTCATCTTCTGTCATGACAGCTGTGCCTGTTCTGGACTAATTCGCCAAGTGTTGGACTAACCAAAAGAACAGAAGTGCCTCCCAGGGAAGAGGCAGCTTACTTCTTTAAGGAACGGAGAATCCACACCGAGGTATTTGGACACAACATAAAGGCAGAAGAGGTGGCGGTCGATGCCCGAGCCCGTCATGGCAAGGCGGTACAAGTGCTGGTGCTTCTCGCACGCAATCTTGAACAACCTGAGTCTCTGTTCCACCTGTGCAACAGGGTGAAAAGGATAAGTGTTGGGCGTCCCAAGTCTTACACCATGGATCTAAGTTTCAGAAGGAAGGGAGTGGGTCGCCTTCTCTCCACCAGGCTGCTGCCACTGGACACCTCGGATCAGGCAGCCCCAAGGCCGCAGCAGGGCTGGCTGATGGGGAAACACCTAGGGGGTCCTCTGTACAAAGTCCCCACCTGGTGTCATTTCATGTTCTATGCAAATGAGTTCACTAAGTAGGCAGGAAAGCCCAAGCTGCAAACTCTCTTTGTATGGAAAGGGCTCTGCTACAACAGCACTTAAAGAGACCTTTAAACCTGACCCAAAGGGGCTGCTTCAGTTCTTCTGCCCTCTGTCCTATAAACCACAGAATCAGGGCGATGTGCCCATATAAGTCCGTATTCAAGGCTTCAAATAAAAGATGAAAGCCATCTGTCATGACAACACCTGATTTCTTTCTGCATAATTGAAAGCCTTTCCACAAGGTAAAAGAGAGGCCCAGTCACATCTCCTGGGTCAGTAAGCACCTGCACTGTCAGGGGCACTTGGGCCCAGACCTGACCTCAGCCACTTACTAGTCACGTAGTCCAGCAGTTTGCAGAATTCATCTGAGCCTCTGTTTCTTTATCTATGAAAATGAACTGATAACACCGTGGCGGGTACTGCTAGGACTGCAAAAGGCAGTGTACAGAAAACTCCTGGGCCGAGGCCTGGCACGCAGTGCCCAGTGTGGCAGTGGCTTTAATAACACCAAGTAGGAGGTTCCCACGTGGGGTGGCAGCTTCTCACCCCAATGCCAGCCACCTGTACTGTCCTACAGCATCTGCCTGCTATTCCCTCCCTCATGAGTTCTAGTCCAAGTCAAGACTTTAATTTGGAAAAATGGTTCGTAACATGAATCTCCTCGTACATGTCCCATCCACTGCCTTGTAATACTTTCCGATCCCTTGAAAGGAATGGAAGAAAGAATCTAAATTCAGGATCACTGCAGAAGAAATCAGAGAAATCAGAGAAGCTGGAGTGTCAACCTCTAGATCCCTTTTATGAAAATGGGGGGCACTTTACCGTCTGGGCCGGGTCCACCATGGCCAGCACGAAGCTGCAGGATTCGGTGGTGCAGGAGCGCACGGTTTCCGTCCTGCCCTCCCGGAAGAGCCGGGTCATAGAGGCTTCGTACGTGAGGCAAAATTTGCCCATGTCCTGGCAAAGGAGAAGCATGTTAGTGCACAGGGAGGGGCATGGTGATGTCTAAGGCGTAGGGAGTGACTGGGTAAGGCTGGCATGGAAGGGTGGGCCGCTCCACCACGGTTTTCCCATGTGTTTGGTTGCATAGGGGCAGGCAGAGGCTCCATCAGCTTTGGGAGGTGGCGGGGTAGAGGCGGAGGGGGCAGTGTCTGGTTAACCCATGTTTCCCTTTGAGGATGCAACTGATGCTGTGACACTCCTCCCCAAATCTCACACACCTCCACCGTGTGCCCTTCATGCTAAGCTCCCTGCATGGGAACAGTTTATGGAAGGAACTCAGGGCATGAGGACATCTGCGTGTGATTGAAATGACTCGAGGACGTCTATCATGTTTGGATGGCGGTGAGAGCGATGCCCCTTCAAGAGAAGGGATGGGTGCAGGAGGAGTGTCCTGTAGCAGGGGGGAAATGGGCAAGGCCAGGCTGCCCATTAGACGAAGGGGACAGTCGTGTGTGGGCTGGCAGATGCGGATGGCCAGTTTTTTGAGAAAGCCCCTATCTTCTGGGGGAAGCAAAGAAAAGTCACCTGCTGAGCCAGGATGGGGAGGCGGCACTGGCAGCTGGAGACAGGTGAGGTGGCATCTAGGGGTGTGGGGAAAGGGGTGCCGGGTACAGTGAGTCAGGGCTTGTTAAAGTGGGGTGAGTCACAGTGTGGGTGCTCTCAAGTCACACAGGTTCCTCCAGAGCAGGATCAAAGCAGGTGAGAGCTGGACTGAACCTGGGCGGTTCTGCTGGGCTTTCGAGGGTGGGGAGAGCAGGGCTGGGCCCCTCACTAAGGGGCAGTCACAGCAAGAGGAATCTACACCTACATGGGAGAAAAGGGAGGGTGGGCCACACAGTGGGGGAGCCAACCAACGGCACCTGCAATGAGCCTCCAAGGTGATGTCGGGAGCAGCAGATGGAAAAAGACAGGGCCGAATCCCAGGGAGCTTGCAGTGACCAGCCACCAGAGCCACCAAGCCAGCACCAAGCAGGGACAGGAGAGTAATGAGCGTCAATTTGGGGGCTCTAGTTATTCCTGACCAGACACATTCCCCAGGCACCTGGTGTGCCCTGGGACAGGCCCTGGTGCAGGGGTGGGTCAGCTATGACCTCAAGGCCACATATGGCCTTCTAAACACCCAATTGCGGGCACTGGACCAAATCTAAATTTGGCCGGGTAGGGTGGCTCATGCCTGTAATACTAGCACTCTGGGAGGCTGAGGTGGGTAGATTGAGCTTGAGCTTAGCTCACGGGTTCAAGACCAGCCTGAGCAAAAGTGAGACTCTGTCTCTACTAAAAATAGAAAAACTGAGGCAAGAGGATCACTTGAGCTCAAGTTGGAGGTTGCTGTGAGCTATGATCCCACATAGCTTCAGACTCGACATGCCTCATACAATAAATAAATAAATAAACAAATAAATAAAAGGATTTGTTTTATAGAATCTGGATTCAGTCAAAAGGCCATGTGGCCCTAAGGCTGCAAGCTTCCTACCCCATTGCACATGCCAGGAATACATCATTTTGACTACAACAATCTTATGATTTCTAGGGTTTGCACTGCAGGTTTTGAAAGAACAAGTGTCAGTGGTGCCTATAGCTCAGTGCGTAGGGAGCTAGCCACACACACCAAGGCTGGCAGGTTTGAACCCAGTCTAGGCCTGCTGAACAATAATGACAACTGCAATAAGAAAAAAATAGCCAGGGTGGCACCTATAGCTCACTGGGTAGGGCGCCCGCCCCATATGCTGAGGGTGGCGGGTTCAAACCCAGCCCCAGCCAAACTGTAACAAAAAAATAGCTGGGCATTGTAGCAGGTGCCTGTAGTCCCAGCTACTTGGGAGGCTGAGATAAGAGAATTAATTGCCTAAGCCCAGGAGTTGGAGGTTGCTGTGAGCTGTGTGATCCCATGGCACTCTACCCAGGGCAATAAAGTGAGACTGTGTCTCTACAAAAAAAAAAATAGCCATGTGTTGTGGCAGGTACCTGTGGTCCCAGCTACTTGGGAGGCTGATGCAGGAGAATCGCTTAAACCTAAGAGTTTGAGGTTGCTGTGAGCCATGACACCACAGCACTCTACCAAGGGTGACATAATGAGACTTTAAAAAAAAAAAGGAAAGAACAGGTGTCCCCCTGCCTCTGCCTGTCTGCACCTTCCTCCTTTTCTTTTTTAGAACGTTACTGGTTATTCTCGTGTTAGCCTTTCCAGAGAAACTTCCAGCTCAACTGGTCAACATGAACCTTTGGCGGTGTTCATGTTAAAACTGTGGACTCGAAAGTTCATCCCTCTGTGGTACGGAATCCTTTTACCCAAAATCACAGCCTTTTCTCCCTTTTCTTTGGGTGCTTCTTGGTCTTTCTGCACAGCGTTCTGTCTGCTTTATAAACCTATGCCCAGGGGTTCCAGATTTTTGTTTCTTGGTTTCTCAGTTTCTGAAATACTCTATGTGTGGCTATCACTGTTATCCCAGGAAGAAATTGGTCTTTGTGTGATTCTGCACCAGGCCTGGTTGCTGAGCACGCTTAGAATTGTAAAAGCTCTGCACTTGCTCCAGCTTCTCAGTAGGCAAAGGCAAATGTCCCTGCCGCCCAATTATCCTGTCTGCTGCCGGAGGCTTCCTTATCCTTTTTGTTTTAATGGGTTGCTATCTCCTCTTTCCCTAAGCAATAGCTTTTAGCTACTTAAACACGATGTTCTCTATCACATTAAGGGAAAGGCCCCTTGACTAAGCACTGTGACCAAGACTTACAAGAAATGGAAGCTAACTTTAAATGTTTTTTTAGAACTCGTTAAAATTACTATCTAGTCCAGGAGTCCTCAAAATTTTTAAACAGGGGGCCAGTTCACTGTCCCTCAGACCGGTGGAGGGCCGGACTGTGGGCCCCGGGATGAGTCGGCTGCTAAGCAGGACAGGCAGCAGCAGCAAAAACACCCGGTGGGCTGGATAAATGTCCTAGGCAGGCCACAGTTTGAGGACTCCTCACAGTCTCTTCTCTGACCTAATAATATGAGTCAGTAGAGTATTTTTATATTTATTTTATTTTATTTATTTTATTTTTTTGTAGAGACAGAGTCTCACTTTATCACCCTCGGTAGAGTGCCGAGGTGTCACACAGCTCACAGCAACCTGCAACTCCTGGGCTTAGGCGATTCTCTTGCCTCAGCCTCCTGAGTAGCTGGGACCACAGGTACCCATTACAATGCCCAAGTATTTTTTTTGTTGCAGTCTTGGCAGGGCTGGGTTTGAACCGGCCACCCTTGGTATATGGGGCCAGTGCCCTACCCCTTGAACCACCAGTGCCGCCCAGTAGAGTATTTTTAAATACTTGGCTGGGTGCAGTGGCTCACATGTATAATCCCAGCACTCTGGCAGGCTGAGTGGGGAGGATCACTTGCACTCAGGAGTCCAAGACCAGCCTGAACAAGAGAAAGATTCTGTCTTTCCTAAAATAGAAAAACTTCTCTGGAAGGCTGAGGCAGGTGGATTGCCTGAACTCAGGAGTTTGAGACTAGCCTGAGCAAGAGTGAGACCCTGTCTCTAAAAAATAGCCAGACATTGTGGTGGGTGCCTGTGGTCCCAGCTATCTGAGAGGCTGAGGCAAGAGCATCACTTTAAGCCCTAAAGAGTTTGAGATTGCTGTGAACTATGATGCCACGGCATTCTACCCATTCTACCCAGGATAAGACTTGGTCTCTACAAAAAATAAAAAGGCCAGAGATATTCAGTAACCCGCCCTAAGTATTTGTACCTTACCAAATTCTAAGACATGGGGCTTATTTTAGGGTTTAACTCTCCTCTGCAGAGTGATGAGATCTCACTTTCTTCTGCCTCCCTGTTTCCCTCCCCTGTTGTCGTCTGTGTCAGATAGGAGTCTGCTCCCACCGGAGAGGACATCTGTGAGCTCAGCTGGTACAGCATGAACACACTCCCTGCTGCCACAGCCAGGGGATCCGGGAGTGCTTCTGGCGCCTGTAGCTGCACTCTCAGGTGCCAGGTTTTGGCCTTCCCTGTCTCCCCCCGCCCCAGCGTGTGGGGGGAGCCCCCAAAGTACTTGGGACACAGCCAGGCTCCTACCTTGTAATGCGCCAGCTGCAGCGCCAGCTGGACAAAGGCGTCTGGGCTCGTGCGGCACTTCTTGATCAGGCCTTTCCCAAAGTTGTCGAATGGAAAAGAATGAAAATCCACGTCATTTGCCAGAAGATTTGCACTGTTCAGGGAGGTCTCTATAACCTCTTGACACTGGAGAGAAAGGAGATAAAGGTTTTGGTCAATAAGGAATAAAGGGGAAAAAGTCCTGACAGCATCACAGGAAAGAGCTCACGCAGTGGGGCAGCACTCAGGGCAGTGCTCACGCAGTGGGACGGCGCTCAGGGCAGTGCTCACGCAGTGGTCGTTTCTTGAAAACATACAGATCATGTTTTCTTGTCCATTTTTTCTGGAAAGGTGGTCTGAAGCCCCAGCAAGTTAGTGGCACTGTGTTGACCCCTTGCTCCCCAGGAAGGATGGGAATACACCTGGGGACTGGGACTCCTGGTTTCCCATGAGATCCCAAAGTGTATTTTAAACAGTCAGGGGTTTTGTTTTATGAAGCCTGTTGTTGCTAAACAGCAGCAAGTGAGAAATACATTTTAAAAAATAAGTGGACAACCATACAATGAATTATTTAGTGCTAAAAAGAAACGAGCTTGGCTCGGCGCCTGTGGTTCAAGCGGCTAGGGCGCCAGGGGCTGGTGGGTTCAAACCCAGCCTGGGCCAGCTGAAAAACAATGACAACTACAACAATAAAAAAATAGCTCGATGTGAGGCAGGTGTCTCTGGTCCCAGCTACTTGGGAGTGTGAGACAAGAAAATTGCTTAAGCTCAAGAGTCTGAGGTTGCTGTGAGCTGTGACACCACAGCGCTTTATCTAGGGGAATATAGTGAGACTGTTTTAAAAAAAAATTATTTGTTGGGCCCCAGGAATTCCTGCTTCTGAGATTTGGTATTTCCAACTTGCAAATTCCTTCCTCAGAGGGCTCCTACTGAGTGGGCTTTATCTGAGAATATTTAAGAAAAAATCAATTATGTTTTGAAAATTACAAATGAGCAAGTCAGAGTATTTTGGTTTTTACTTCTTCATTGTGACCATTTTAATAGCTGTCTAGCAAGGTTCCAGTGGGTTCTTCAAATGGAAGAAGCAATATTTACCAAGGCTTCTGAGGGAATGGGCGATACGGCAGCCCCATGGCCCCAGAGAAATTCCCTAAAAAGACAACTTGCAGTCTTTGTGGTCTTCAACTGAGCTTGTGAACGCCCAGGAAGTACAGTTGGAAACTTTGGTTGGAAGCATTTAAAGCTGTTTCCCGGCTTGGTGCCTGTAGATCAAGTGGCTAGGGTGCCAGCCACATAAACCAGAGCCGGTGGGTTTGAATCCAGCCTGGGCTGGGCCTGCCAAACAACAATGACAACTACAACCAAAACATAGCCAGGCGTTACGGTGGGCACCTATAGTCCCAACTATTTGGGGGACTGAGTCAAGAGAATTGCATAAGCCCAGGAGTTGGAGGTTGCTGTGAGCTGTGATGCCACACACTCTACCCAGGGCTGCAGCTTGAGGCTCTGGCTAAAATAAATAAATAAAGCTGTTTCCCATCCTGGGTAAACCACAGCGGTTTGGTGCTGAGACTTACTTCCTCCGGGATGTCCCACTGCAGCCTGGTGGGGTACGGAATGCTGGAGTTGGTATCCCCTTTGCAGTGCCCATCTTCTGCATAGCCCAGCTGAAAGCTGTCAGTAGCCATGACATACTGTCAAAAATAGAAGGGTGAAGAAGTAGACTCAGACATCACAATAACTCAGTGTCACATGAAACATGTTTCATTTCCACAGTGGACACACATCCTCATAGATGCATTCCAACCACGAAACACTTAGGACTCCATGCCCTCTGCCCAGCCCTGAGGGAGGTGGGTCTTCTCTCCATTGTAGAGACTCTGTCAGTGCCTGGAGCACCTGGACTCCTTCCCATCTAGCAGTCCCTGGAGTCACAGGCCATTCTGTGAACAGTCACAGTGAAATGCCACCTTATCTAACTGGTCACCCTGGTCAAGAGTATATCCCTTGCCCTCATCTTACCCAGAGTACCTAAAAAAAATAAGCATGGGGCCAGGTGTGGTGGCTCCCACTTGTAATCCCAGCACTCTGGGAGGCCAAGGAGCTCAGGAGATTAAAAGCAGCCTGAACAAGAGTGAGACACAGTCTCTAATAAAAATAAAAACATTAGCCAAGCAGGGTGGCTCACACCTGTAATCCCAACATTCTGGGAGGGCAAGGTGGGTGGTCGCCTGAGCTAGTAAGTTCAAGACCAGCCTGAGCAAGAGTGTAATCCCATCTCTAAAAAACAGCTGGGCGTTATGGCAGGCAGGGGTAGTCTCAGCTACTCAGGGGGTTAGGGCAAGAGAATCACTTGAGCCTAAGAGTTTGAGGTTCCTTTGAGCTGTGACATCATGGCACTCCACCAAGGGCAACAAAGTGAGACTATCTCAAAATAAATGAAAGAAAGAAAAGAGGAAGGAAGGAAGGAAGGGAGGGAAGGAGGGAAGGAGGGAGGGAGGGAGGAAGTGAAAATTAGGCATTGTGGTAGGCACCTGTAGTCCCAGCTACTTGGAGGCAGAGGAAGGAAGATTACTTGAACACAGGGCTTGGTGCAGTGGCTCACACCTATAATCTCAGCATTTGGGAGCTGAGGCAGGAGGATCAATTGAGGCCAGGAGCTCAATACTGGCCTGGCCAACACAGTGAGACTCCATTTCTACACACAAAATAAAAATTAGCCAGGTATGGTGGTGCATGCCTATAGTCCAGATACTTGGTAGGCAGGAGCAAGAACTTACTGTCTGAGTCAAGCTGACACCACTGCATTCCAGCCTGGGCAACAGAGTGAGACCCTGACTCAAAAAAAAGCCTAACTTTGCAAATATCCAGTAATTTCCCTACTTGATAAGTTTCTCCGGTGAAGCCCAGACTGCCTATGATCCCCATTCTCTCTCCTTTCCCAAGCCCAGCTCTCACGCGCGTAGGACTCGGCAAGTCCTTGGAACAGGGTGCAACAGGCCCGGAGGACCACACTGTGCAGAGACTTATAGTGTGTCTTGTTGCCAAGTCCAGAGGCACCGAAGGTGGCTTGATCTTTGATGGATTTTCTGGCTAAAAGGCCTTTAAAGTTTTTTGTTGGCATCAGCAAAGAACGCTGGTGGCAGTGAAGGGCTGCTGTGCCAGTCAGCTGCTTTTAATGTATCAGGACCACACGACGCATTAAAGCCTGAGCCCTTGGGTTTTCCTTTTCATCTTTTTCTCCACATAGAAAACCTCCTCTGGGCTCGGCGCCTATAGCTCAACCAGCTAAGGCGCCAGCCAC